AGTTGACTGGCATTCTGTGCTGTGTTCTGTGATGATGATGATGCGTATTGTTGTAATTTGATCTGCACATGATTTGTTTTTGCTGTAAGCAGCCAGCCAGCCAGCCAGACAGACAGCCAACTAGCCTGTTCCGATCGTAATCGAGTTGTATCCAGATCATTTTTAAGATGCGTAGCAATGTATGATTTTAACTTTCTTTCCTTTCGACCTCAATCTGGCTTCCATGATCCTGAGGGAGGAAATTGGCTGCCACTGTATGACAGCCTTCGATGCCCTTCAAGGTGATATCATGCTAACCCCTCAAACAAACTCTGTGTGCTCATGGTTGTCATCTGGGTGACAATATTGGAGTGGATTATTGACTCCTCTGCAGTTGACAGTTTGGAGGGTCCACTTCCATTTCATCTGCTGATTCCTCTCAGATTCCTAGCATTTCTTTGCTATGCCTCCTCATCTCTTTTGCAATCTGGGCAGACTTGCCAGTCAGTCAGCCAGCCAGCCAGCTTCAAACACTGTTTGGAGATTCCATGTCCCCATTCTTACTTTTGGTTTCATCGAGAGAGGAGAATACACATTGGCCAATTGGCTTACCAGAGGCTTTCACCAACCGGTGTCATTCCGTTTCCCTGACTGCAGCCAGGAATGAGTTTATTTTTATGTTTTATATTTTTTTTGTTCTTTGAAGTTTGTTTAGCGATTGTATTGGTTTTTGTGGAGTAGGGTTGGTGGCCGTATGCCCAACCTTTCCTATTTATCCTGGCTTAGGACCGGCTAGTAAACTAGGGAACCGGTTAACTATGCGAGGTTTGTAAATGTTGAAGAAGCTCATAATATCTTTGCTTGAGCTGCCACTGAACAGTTTTGAGGATCCTATTCAGTATGGGTGCAAAGTCAAAAGAACTACTGTGATGCCACCAGTGTCTTATATCACAATATTGCTTATAATCTTGACGAAAATGCTTAGTACTTCAGAGGTTATTTTTTGGACCATATTACAGCATCTGATCCTGTCCCGGAACCTCTTCTGTTGGACAGGCTGTCCAGGACAAATACTGAATCCTGGGTAATTAACCAGGTGCATTCTTAATTCTCTGAAAGGAAGTTATATGCATTTCACAAAGTTAAGCGCTTCACCTCATTGCTTACTCAGACTGGTGTGCCCCCTTTCTTTCCTTTCTGGATAACTTATCATTTTTAGCTGGTATCAACCTTGTCAAAACTACTGATGACCCGACAGCTTACATACTTGTTTCCTCTTGATCAGACTGTTCTCAACTAAACGATTTCTTGACTACTACTGGAAGATGGTCTTCCATGAATGATCCTGTGCTTAATTATTCAAAATGTCATACTATTATCTTTAGTTTCGGACGTTGACGCAATCTATGTAGACTGCTCAAGTCTTGTGCTTCCTTTTCTATAAGTGGTTGTGTATTAGAGACTGTTATGAGTGTGATTTATCTCGGTGTGTGTTTTCTTCGAACTTTTCTCGCCCTCCAATATTTTACTAATTTTCAAAAAATTTTTCGCCTATTTACTAAATTAGAAAGCTAGGAGTATCTGGTACAACAGCCTCTCCTGTTGTGTTTTAAAACCCTAGCATCTTGTCTGTTCTCGTTTATTGTTCCCCTTTATTCTTTCCCGGCTCACCGAAAAAATACTATGCTGTATTGCGTATAAATTTGAAGATCGTCAGGAGAACTTGTGGTGTACCTCTAAAACTTCTAATTAAAACAATTGTGAAAAAACCTATTAACTCATTTAAACATCCCGCAGAATTTGTTTATCAGATGACCAGCATACCCTTCATTCAAAGCTCCCTACTTATCAGTCATCAGGTAGTACCTAGATCAAGTATGTAAGAACTTATGCCCCACAATACCGTATTTAGCCCGTATTCTGTGTAAAAGTATTAGAAGCGAACTAATTAATCATATTTTGTTTCTGAAAGCAAACTAACTCAAGATTACACAGCTTGCTGTTATTTAAGTATTATGAATATGATTGCTACCGTGACTTTACATGAGTTAACTCTGCATTTTCAAGAAAGTTGTAGTTGAAGTAAATATTCTTATCTTTCATATGTAGTTCCTACTTATTTCATTTAATTGTGTGTGCATATAGATTGTTTCTGTTCAGTTGATGCGATATCACATACTTAAAATTCTATAAGGTATTACCAAAATATCTTTCAGAATAAAATCACATTGTGTTGTTCTAGGATAAAAGTTTTCTACTGATCTCCATTGGTTGTTCTACAGCTTGTTGACAGCTGAGGACATCTTTTGTTTACTAGATTGCATGTAGAAGCTGAAACTTACCAACAAATCTCTGCCTTCTCCTTTGCAATGTATCGATTCCTGAATTTTGCCTATTCTTTTTTCTTAGTCTATTGACGAAACACTGCATTACATTGTGTAGGACTTGGAAGGCCGTCAGCAGACTGAATGATGTGTATCTGACCCGGATTATTAACAGTGTCATTCAGTGACACTTAAATTCATGTTGACCAGTGACTACAGTTATTCTATTGGACAGTGAGTATACCTTTATTCCCAACCCTCTTCTTCTACTTCTTCAGAGAGGAAAAGAAGCGATTTCATAAGAATTTATGCTCACATTGCTAAATACAAAACTGAACTGTGCCTTGTTTGGCATGCACTTTGTGTAAATTAAAAGAACTTGGAAAGAATATTTTTCCATGGATTGTTTATGACAAAAACTTATTACAAATTTGGGATCAGAAGATGAACATCACAAAATCATTACGCAACACTAGGAATACATAAAAATGAAAAGATGGAAATAAATTTTTAAGAAGAAGTCTCAGAAATGAATGCAAAGATGGACTTGATACTTTCATTTTACTTTCCAGTGATAAAAGAAAGAAGAAAACTGCAGGGTGATCACCACTGGTTCCGGTTCTGAGCCATGTCTATTACTGCCCCATGCCACTGAATTGCATAATCTCTCAGATTCTATTCAGAGAGTCATGAGGCACCTACGGAGGCTAACTAAGCACATCTCTCCTTCGTCCCATGGCACCAAGTCATACTCATTAACTATATTACAGTAAATAAGCAGCTATTTTATTTCTGCTGTCATTCATATATTATTATCTGCATTATTACTATTAACATTATTAAGTCGCTATAATTATTTCTATCAAAAGCTTTGGACAAGGATTAAATTCTCTGCAATGTTAAATGCAGACAATTCCCTACTGAATCAAAAGTATCATCTGAAACAAAGTGGCCATTATTATAGATAGATAATGACTAACGGTTGAATACACGGCGTGCCTTTCGTCCTTTATGAGACTTGCCAGCTGAATATACCTTCATCCAGGTGAGTACGTTTTCCACTTAGGATTGAACCCATCATTCACAGTTTTAGACGTCAGAGAACTATCCGTTAGGCTGCTATCGTTATAAGTACTCTACTTAGTGCACATATTCTAGCTCGTCGATTGTCAGTTATTGATAGAATAACCTGATAGACCAATGATGTAAATTTAACAGGCTGATTCTTAAAGCGTATCTACAATTTTGAAGAAATTGATACTCCATGCCCATGCCACTCAAAATCACAGTTAGAAGTGCTCGGCTTACCGAACTTTGTCCACTGAAATTTCCTTTAAGAATTTATCACCAAGTACGAGTTTTTTGAAGTCAAAAGGTGAAGCTTTCACATCATTTACTAGCTATCAATAAGGTTTATTTTTAACCCTAAAAAAGACATTACACTGTCGAGGACTGGAATGCATGTAATTTGCTACACAAGTCAGAAACATCAGTGAAGAGCTGTTCAAGCGATATTTGACATCAAGTATTTCAAAGCTGCATTGGGGATTGTTCAGCAACTGAGTCTCAGACCGTACGAAATATACTTCAATTTTTATTGGCCTATTAGATTTATCACACAGGGTAACAGTATTGTTTACTGGATTACGTTTTTGTATCGAATCAACAATCACCTATCTTTAAAGAGCACCAGAAATCATTAAATGAACTACTTCAGAACGAAGACATCGGTATTCTAAACACTGATAAAGAAGAATGTATAACACGTATGGGTAAAGAAGACTACATTACTAACATGTACAGTATGGTCTCTGATATGTCAAAATTCGAAGTCGATAAAAGTCTCCGATATCAACAATTCAATGCAGTAAAACAACGGAGAATTACCAATATATCAACAAATAGTAACGTTTATTGTTTGTTGTAAGTCTGTATCGGGAAAGGAATTTTTTCAACAAATTATGCCTTTTTCACAAGTAGTAACTCTTGTGCGTCATAAGCCTGGTGGTTAACTCTGTGGCATTTGAAGCAAAAGGTATTGACTTTGAGACTAAACGGAAACATCATTCTTAGGGATGCAGGTAAATTCGGCTGATGAGTACGGAATAGAAGTAAATAGGCATCTTAAATTCAAGTGAAAGGCACAACTAAGCAAAACGTAACGTCAACAAAACGTACTCTTCAGGAGTCATCCACATAGGAGAACATATACCAAGAGAGGTCGATGAATTTGACCCAGTATATAAGAAGGGGAAATTACAAGCATCAATAAAAACATCGTAAGAAAGGTTCGTATATATATTGATTGGTCACCGGGAGATAACAAATCAATATACCTAGTCCAGTCCTATATGAGGTCAGTAGCGTCTGGAATGCCCTAGTAGTAACGTCTCTGACTGTAGCGCTGGGTGACACAGGTTAGAATCTCAGGAAGGATATCAATTCCTTTAAGACTGCAGATACACCTTGGTGACAGGTCCAGAACCACGAAACCTAGGTCCAGGGCTACTTGCCGATTGCCTCCATCCAACTAACAGGTGAGTATGTCTTTCCCACTTCATAAATCTGAAAAGCATAGTAAGCAGATTATATTCTGTTATATAAAATAGGCCATTGATAATTTGTTTATGCCTGTTTAAACATTTTGTTCGCCTTACTGCAATTGTTTTAGCATAAAACAGTTATTACGCTTGTTTTATGGCTAAATCATCACCTGTATACTCTATGCCATTCAGCTCAGACAGCAAAATTCTTGAGATTAATTCAGTAGGTGGAGGTATACAGGTACTTCACTATAAGGCTTTTCATCTAAGATTCACGTTTTTCTCTAATTCTTCGTCCAACAGAAATTTCATTGTTGATAATTCTCCAATAACATATCTTACTGGAAAATTATGATCACGTTATTTGTATAATGCAGACTATTATTGATTTTCATGCATGGCCTTGAAATTCACTTCAACCAATCAAAATGCTCCCTAGTCGACGTAGGTGTTCAACAGAATTTATCACATTTATACAGGGCTAAAAGAGTTGCGGATTAGTATTCAGTAATGTAGCTGAATTCACACGAAATTCGTTTTTCGTTCAGAAAATGACGAAGTACCCGCAGTTCTTTAAGCTACTTTGAAATAATAATTTGAGCACAATATGAATAAAATTATAATTTTGGTCGATTCATATCATTAGTATTTCGACGCTACATTCTATGAAGGTGTTTGCAAATTTCAATTCTCAGTTGAATAAAAACTAATGAAATTTAAATTTACTCTATTAACCCCCTGGACACTATTACCTACATCATTGTCAGATGAAAATGTGAGGACAATGAGGCTGCATTATTTGCAAAATTATTAACTGAACGTACTGAGAATGAATATGGCCGGCATGTGTTTTGGCCGACTGGTCGTGGTGAAGCATTTCTGCACAATTCATTTAATTCATTTGAGAATCGTTTCTTAAAGCATTCTGAATACGCCTTATTGATTGTTTCCGGTGAAAATGCATCATATCTGGATCATATTTATCCTAGATTTCTTGTCTTTTTCACAGCGAAACAAACATGGTCAGATAGAATAATAATTGTGTTTTTAAAACACCCTAAAGATTCTTATCTTTTCGATACAAGTCTATTGAAACACCCACCAATTATCTTCTATGGAGATTCAGCTAATCAGTGGAATGATGATAAAGAGGCATGGTCAAAAATTTTTGATCTAATAAATAGTGAGTAGTTCAGAAAAATTTTGAGACGTTTATGTATTCAAAACGTTTTTACGGTTCATATTTTATTTTCTAATGTTATAGCAAAGTTTACAGGAAAATAGAATCGCGGGAAGTTGTTATTTTCAAAGAATTTACAGTAAATGCTATGGAATGACTTTATAAGCTGAAAGTTATTCATGGTGGTCACTAGTGGTGGTTACCCAGATAGCAATAACTACCAGATGATCTAATCAGTCGTTTGAGGTTCAACTGATCAGTTATGAGCTTAGATTGATAGAACTTAAATAGGTGAACACTTTAAGGTGAATACTATTTATTTAGATCTTCGAAATAACTGATACACATATGTCTAAAATAGATAAGTTTTCTAAGAAAAAATCTTTATTGATTGACAGACTAGTTTCGAATATTAGATTTGAAGCATAAAAAACTGGGCTTCTGAATTTCAAGAAAAATTAACTTTGCTAAATTAACCATTTGAATTGATTTGGCATTTAATTAAGCTGTACTACATTCTACTTATAAATTTTGACATTGAAAATTATCAGGAGCTATTGTTTTATATAGTGTAGAATTGTGGCTTTGGGAGTTACCTTTTAGTATTTTCCAAGTAATCAGTTAGAAAGCCTTAACCATGGCTTGAACTGACAGGAACTATCAACCATTCGTGCGCTTCCAATAGCATATAAAAATTAAAAACATGACTCCACTGGTTATTGTATATTGACTGATGTTTTACTAGGTTTCTATATCACGCCAAAACTCCCAACTTGGGAGCTATACGACAACTGACTGTGAAGTGGGACAACTTAAAGTGCTACTTAATGTTAGCAAGTTCTTTGGTGTTTTGTCTGTTCATCAAACTAGCTGTCGTTCATATTTTTAACAACTAAGTCCTTTGTATATGAATTATGATCAAGATTCGACCGAAAACTATCGCAAATACTGGTAGGTGAGTAAAAGGTTGACATCAGGTATAATTAATACTTGTGTAAGTCACAAAATATTTATTCGAATTCTGCACTGAGGAGTTTCAACCTATGACTGTTAGAATTTGATATTATCATTAGTTCTTATAATTAAAATTTGAGAAAGACCTTCAAACCAACTGCTTAAATAATGACTAAAATTATGTCCGAAAATTGGTTTCCTGTTTGCAGTCAGTTTTGAAACTGTTTTGTAATAGTGAACTTTTATGTTACAATATGCATTCTTGCGGATATTTTCATATCAATTCTTTGGAAAGACTGCGTGATAATTATAAATGAATAAAATTAAAATTTTAAGATTTCATACTAACAAGAAACCGTAACGTTGTGAAGTATTCGTTGTTATTGGCCACCATCGGGTCATTAGACGGACCACCATGTTGTTATAACGCTAATTCATTGTTTCAAAGTTCTTACAAAACCTCTTCCCAAAACGTAGAAGCACACCTTACTTTTGCCTGGTTGGTCACCTTATCGACATTATATCGTAGAAACGGTATACGAAGCATGCTTTGTGTATTCTTTCACATAATGATAACAACAACAGCGAGGAATCCAGGAGGACAACCTTCATCTTGTTATATAGCTAAAACTGATAGTTTCAAATTTCTCGGAATGGTACCGCATCTTTGTCTGTCCCTTTTTCTACTATTTTTAAAGTTCAGCATCACTTCAGGTGGTGCTGCAAGTCAAGGTACGCAGTAGTTTGGCTTGTACAATGCATGTCTAAACCACATCAATCAATTCGGGTTTACAACTTTAGTGACTGACTTCGTTTGCTGGTCTATTAATCAACTTTTAACCTTAAAAAAAAACTTAAACGATGGTTCCATGACATGTGAGCATTGCTACAAGGACAAGTATACTCAGAAAGCTTCAAATTCATGAAATCTGAGATTTTCAGTTAGCACGTCACACAGTTGTATAATAGGGAAGACTGTACTACTATGCAGTATATGACACGGAGAAATACTACCACCTTATTCCTCTCTCTAGCCTTGTATTTTCAATTGACTTAAAATTCTTCGTATGTGAATACGGGTACCACTTTTATATAAATAACTACTGAAGTACTTCGGAATGGGATGATGATATTTTGTTGAAAGTTTAGGGAAATAGGAAGGTTAGCCTCTTGAAAAATTGGTGTTCTGTGTGTATGATTATGGGTTTTTTTGTTCTCACTTCAGAAAGTGTCAATGCTAACAATAAATAATGTACCCTAAATCATTATGTATCTCAGTATACAACAGGAGTTGTCTAGAAGCAAGTGCATATCTATTCATCACAGTAAGTGCCCTACGAATTAAACAGTGTTCACTGTCATAATGTGAACTATCATAAATGAGTAAGATAATTCATAGTCGTTTGATAATGACTGACAGATTACATTCATCCCCCTCAAATTACTGTTCCAAAGGAAACGCCTTTGTAACCTTTGACAACCCGAAGAAATATTGTGTTGATTTACACAACCTTCATTAAAATACTAAGAGCTATCACGAGTTATATATTAAAAGAACAGAAAATTGCACATGTTATGCCACCTGATGCTTTATTCCAAAAAGGATTCATAAAGACATCTGAAACCGTAATTACCAAGAGTAGCGAGTTAGAGGAGTTCATCGTGTGAATTAGTTGTCAAACTTACCTGTGAAATTCGGCTATCTAACAGTACTATCCATGTTGGTTATCGGAATAAAAGTTGGTTGGAGTCATGATAATTTGAATCGCATTTTAGATGGTTGCATATCCAGACTTGGATCAAATGAGTGAATGTGCTACCAACTTTCCATAAGGAGCAAATTTCAAAACTACACATAAAGTACACTGTTACTCGGAAAGATCGACACTCTCTTTCGTCATACCCACCTAGTCAAATGATTGTTATGTTCCTTGAATAATGCAGTCATGGACAAACAGGTAGACGGAAAATTTATCACTTAACATAAAGGTGGATTGGTTTCTAACATCTCGAAGATTTCTAGCCAGAAGTCCTACTCTTTCCAACTCAGCTAAGACTAATGGTCAATAAATTTAGCAACGTGATGAAGCAGAATATGCGAAAGACAATAGTTTGTTTTAAAAGAAATCTAATAGTGACTGTCTGTGTAGCATGCATATTTCATTCTAATCAAAAGTGCTTCATGAAAACTGCCACGTTGGTCAGTAGTTTACTTCGTGTGTAGCTTGTTAATCTCAGAAACACAGATGAAGTACTCATCAAATGGTTTTGAATTATCAAGAAATTTTTAGGCACGGTAATCCCTATTTTTTGGATGATAACAATCGACGAATTGCTATCTTGACTCAGTAGCGAAAAATATCCATCAGCAAACCTTTCTTAAAGTCAGAGATGGCTGCAACAATGCGCATGAACGAAATCACCAGTGTTTTTGACTGTAAGTGAAAAAAACTACCTCAAGTAAAGTAGAGTAACATTCCACAAATGGAGAATTTTTCAGTTTTGTCACCCAGCTAAATACTTGGAAGTGCATAATACTTTCGACTTTCAGTGTTACCAATATATTACCGAAGCTGTAAAAACAGGTATTATATTATGACCACTAAAATCCCTTGTGTAAATAGTTTAGCAATTGTAGCAATCTAAAACATGACACTAAAGTGAATGCGTTAATGTTGTAATACTTTGCATAAGCATAGGAAGCCAGAACTGAAAAGTGAAAGATAAGAGAACAGAAAAGGACATAAGCGGAAGAAGATTAGGAATAAATACATGTATGCCATTGTGATATGATATTTAATAGTAGCACTTATAATCTTTAACCACTGTCTCCAAAAAGATAATCTGTATCTCCCTTCCGGTAATTTCTTTAACCACTAGTAATAATCTAGGATTTACCGGTCTTTAGTCTCTTTTCAGACTGAGCCTAATCCTTTCACCATTGTTTATTAACATGAAGGATTCTTATTATTGTGCAACACATTTTTCAAGTATCCAAGTCAATGCAACTTTATGGGACATTTTCACTTGCTTACGTAAAATTCTGCTTGTAAATACGATATTGCTCACCAAGTGCTTTCATCATATATAAACTAATTTGAAGACAACTATAACTAAACTTATATAAATCCACTATATTTTTTACATTCAATGAAATTAAGTTTCAGTTGAATGTTCAGGAATAAAGCTAGTATGAAGAAGGGGTGGACGTCCTTGCACATCATGGAATGTCAGAGGATGAAGGTATTTTCTATATACCATCTTCAGTTAAATATAATGCTGAACAACATGAGTAGATAGAAACCACTCAAGTTAATCCGTAGATTTTGCTGTTTAAATCAGAGTAATTTGAACCCCAGATTTTCATTTCCCTCGTTTGGGGCCGACTCATCAGTTTTAGTCTGGATACGCAACCCACTTGGGTAGTTGAGAAATTAATAATCCATGAAAAATCTCTACCTGAATTGTGCAATTCGTAAAAACTGGCAAATTAGTCGTCTTACCAGTTTCAGTGACTATAACCTGTACCCTTCACTCACATTTTTCCGTTCCCGATCTTTCAGGTAGACATCAGTTTAGTGCGTACCAAAATATAATTGAAACGGTTTGGATCATTACAGTATCTTTTTAGTCATTATGAAAAAATTCTGTCGTAAGTTAAAGACTAAAATGATCAATGATCCGTTCCGCTGTCTTTGATTTCTGTATCTAATCCACTTTACCTTGCAACTACTCACCACTACCCTTAAACCATTCGGAAATGGCTCATCAAGTCTTACTGTTTTCATTTGATTAATATTCGTATGGGTAAGTCAACTTCTAACTCCCCTCAAGGGTCTGTATCAGTCTCTCACTGAAGATGCAGGAGGATGAACTCCCAAGTTATTAGACTATCCTAAATAAGTGTTTTTGATCCATGTAACAGTCAAATGTGCTCACTTTTCCTGTCAATATTTTGCACAGTATGAAACTGGTAACGCAGATTCAGTACCTATTGATGAAGTTGCCTGTTCTAGTGAAGAAATGTCCAGGAATAGGCTTCGGAGGTC